TTCTGAGGGACATTAAATGGAACTTAAAGCTGAAATGGCTTTATGGATTTTTTCACACAAACTGTTTATGAACATTTATTGCCAGTAAATTATATTGTGTCAAAAGAAGGAATCAGTAGGCATGGCTTTAATAGAAACCTTTTTGAAATAATAAAATTGAGAATAATTTATTATCTAAGAATGGGTAGAGGATGGGATGGGGGAATTCATCCTGATGCATGATTGTCCACTCTGCAGCTTTTGGGAAAGTGAAAAATGGTGTGGAAGTCAGAAATCTGTTAGGACTTGGAAAGAAATGGTCTTTTTGAAATGTATTAATATCTCATTTCATTGTACATGGGAATTGTTTTTAGAAGAGGAGTGATAGGGGATTTAGCAAGTGTTACTCGAGGCTATAAACATGGGTATTTGTTCATGTTTCATAAAAAGATGAACAAGTAGAGAGTTACTTAATCTGCTGAATGAGGGTCTAGAGTAGGGTCAAGGGCATCAGTTTCAGAGCTGAAATGCTGGAGTTCAAATCCTGGCTCCCTCTCTTCACTGTGTGACCATAGAAAAGTTTCTTGACTTCTCTGAATCTCACACTCCACAACCGTAATAACAGAAATTAATAGTCCCTGCCTCACAGGGTTATTGTCATGATCAAATGAAGACAGTTTCAGTAATTTCTACTTTGTAGTAAGTGCTTTTAAAATGTTATTTTTTAAGAGTCATAGAGGACCCAAATAAGAGGAAGAAAGAATAGGATTCATGAACATTTTAGTACTGGTAGTAATATTTTATTAATTGTCATTTGATGATTGCTATGTACCAGAGATCTCATTTAGTCTCCAAAATCCCTGGGAGATGAGGGTACTACCCATATCTCTTCTTTTCAGAGAAGGAAACTGAGCGTCAGAGAGATTCATGCCCCAGGTCACTCAGCTACTGAGAGATTTTGATAAGTTCCCCTGAGAAGTCACATGCATGAGTCTGTCCTCCAGTATGTATAGGACATGTGGACCCCTGTGGCCAAAGTCCAGCAAAAAAACAATCAAAGGGCATCTGGTTGGACGATGGAAGCTAAAGGAGCATGAGTGTCTTGCCCTTCACTTTCATCCACAACCAGAGCCTGTCATTTACCCATCTCCTCCACCTGTCAGAGCTCATCCCCTCTGGATTTTGCTTGCTTGCCATTTAATGAGTGCCACATTGACCTGGCACTGAGAAAACAAGGCACTAGGGTGCTGGGTCTAAATGTGGGTTCTTTAGTCAGATTCCCGGATGTGAATCTTATTAGCTCTAGTGCCCACTGGCCATAGGACCATGAGCCCCACACATCTTTAGCCCCAGTTCTCTTATCTGTAGGTTAAGCAGGTTCCTTGGTCTGGGAAAGAGAACACCAGCCTTCTGATCTTATTCTACTTTAAAGAGATATTTCTATTCAGCCCCAGTAGCATTCCTTTATAAGTATACTCCTTTATTGTAGTGGTATAGTTAAAATGCACCGGGGTGTGATTTTAGACATTCATTTAATATGTGAGGTATGAGGAATTTTATAGCAGTAAATTAGTACTCCCATAGAAGTGGTAGTACTAGTTGAATTGAGTCCAGGAGGAGTCTTTGGAACCTAAAGTCAAATCTGGTTATATTCTATATAAGACCTTGCCCCTGCCCACACAGAGCTTATGATCTAGTTGAAGAGATAAGATGAATGTCTGCGAGGTAAATCCCAAATAGTGTGTGCTCAGTGCCTAATGAGTGTACGTAGTCATCTTACAAGTATTTGCTGAGTGCCTGCGCTGTGCTAGACAATGAGGATAGGACAGAGAGCAAGACGCACTCCTAGCCAGGAGCACAGCAAATGCGCTTGCAGGTCAGGGAGCTGAGGATCCAAGCTCAGGTGTTCAAAGGAGACCATGTTCTTTCCACAGACACAGATAGTGAACATCTGTAATGTGCTGGATGACTGTATTGTCACCCTTTTTCCCCCTTGGCCTTGCTTTCAAAGGGTGGCAGAGCTCAGCGCCCCCAGCTGCAGTAGAGCCGTTCCCTCTTGAGCCTAGTATAGCCAGAAGTAAGAAGTAAAATAGCAGATGAAGTTTTCTCATTGTATCTGGCAAATAAAGAAACAGGCTCGGTACAGAGTTTGGATGGGGTAAAGAACATGGCCTGAGCTTTTGAGGTTCATTTTTCATAAGAGCCGGTCATTCCTCATTTTTGGACAACTGTTCTGAATAAGTGTTATCTGTGTCCTACTGTGTGCACCTACTTGGTACAGTCCCCAGAGTTGCAAAATAGATCTTCTTTGACTTCAGAGATCTTACAAAATGACGGAAAGAGTGGGCATGAGAAAGAGGTGAAACATTAAGTGTTACAGCATTCTAGAAACAATTCAAATAATGAAAGCTGTCCATGGGCAAGACTCATTGTCATTTGGGTGAGTCAAACAATTACGGCTGATTCGGAAAGAGGTAATGCTTTTTCTGTTGCAGCTTTCATGGAATTCTCGGTAGAGGAACAGGAGATTTGAGCTGACACTAGAGAGTAGAGACAATGTAAATAAACAGAAATAACTCTCCTCTGCTTATTGAGATATATAATTGTTCCTTTAAATATGTAGATATAGATATTTTTAAATAGAGCTCAAATGGCTAAGAACTAAGCATCTCTAAGAATGTCAAAGAGAAGTCCCTGTTAACTACAGTAGCAGCAGATGGGAGTTGTTCAGTGACAGACAAGATGGCACTGGGAGATGGCTGAGGGCAGGGTCTTGGGTTTCACTCAGCTTAGAGCCACCTTCCGACGTGTCAGTCCCTGTCCTGTGACTTCAGCAAGCCTGTTTTATCCACTTGGCAGCCTCCACAGTGCCTTTGACCTAGGTGTTCCTCAAAGGATCCCAAAAATGTTGGAGAGGGGAAATGGATATTCTGCAAAACCAAATGTAATACATATGTAACAAAAGCTACTTTATAATTTGTAATCCACCCCATTCTTACTCAGTTACTGTATTAGTCAGAGTTCTCCAGAGAAACCAAACCAATAAGGTCTACACAGAGAAAGAGATTTATTGTAAGAAATTGGCTCACACAATTATAGAGGCTGAGAAATCCCCCATTCAGCTGTCTGTGAAATGGGGACTTAGGAAGAGGCCAGTGATGTAATTTAGTCTGAGTCCAAATGCGTGAAAATGAGGGGAGTCAATGGTGGTGATTCCAGTCTAGGTGTGCAGGCCTGAGAACCAGGACCATGGACAGCAGGAAAAGAGCAATGTCCCAGCTCACAGGGTGAGGCAGGAAGGGCGGAATACTTCCTTCCTCCACTTTTTTGTTGTATTCAGGCCCTCATCTGATAGGATGATGCCCACTTACATTGGAGAGAGCAAACTGCTTTATTCAGCACACCTATTCAAATGCTAATCTCATCTGGAAACACCCTCACAGACACATCCAGAAATAATGTTTAGCCAGATATCTGGGCACCTTTTGATCCTGTCAAGTTGACACGTACAATTAAGCATCACAGTTATCAAGAACACAGTAAAGTTTCAATCACTAGAGCAAAATAAATAATATATACTTAATAAAACAGTGAACATTCTTATGAAATTTACACCAAAAAAATGTATTTAACGGGGCTATGGGTACATTTTGAAAGGTACCTGTATATTTGAAAAGATGTGATTTGGGATCTTGGAAAGTAAAAGTGTCTACGGGCAGAAAATGATCTTAAAGGTCCCCACATGGAGTGTCTCTATGCCAGCTGGAACCGTCAGTTTTATGGGGTTGTTGCAGGGAATAAATGAGATATATCTATGATGGTATCCAGCTATGTGGTAGTCACTCAAAAATGTTAGCTGAGAGTAATAGTTATTATTCACCAGAATATTCTTTTAGTGACCATATATTATGTTAAGGAAGAAAAAAATTCTGATTTTACTTACAGTGGTCTGTTACTCATATCAGAAAGATTAAATATTTCTATAGTTGCTACAAAAGCCAGGAAATCAGTTCATTTTCCTAGAGTCATTAGTATGTCGGGGTAAACCTGGCTTTGGAATAACAGTGGTTAGTAGAGGATTTCTAGACATTATACCAATGCAGGAGGATTCTAGAAATTCACACATGAATGCAAGATGATATTCCATCCCTTCTTACAGCATCAAAGAAGCACACTGAGCATATAAAAAGAAACACCTTTACTTCAGGATACTGTCTGGCTAAGCTTAATTGAAAAACAATATCCAGTGCAATTGCCTGTGATAAACTGAGGCTTAAGCGATTTGAAGACACTTTGGGAGCAGACAAATTAGATAATCACAATCTTTACGGCTGGAAAGGTTCAGCTGATGTTGACAAGTTGTAAAGATAAAAGCTTATAGCAAAGTCAAGAGCTAAATGTCTAGATTGGGTCGGGGATCAATGTTAATACTCAAATGGTAGAAGCACTGAACTTCAGATGATCCCTCATAGTGTTCTGAGTTTTCAAGGTTATCCTGTAAAACTTGATTTACTGAGAAACTTTGGCCTCATTGTCCTTAGGCAAATACCTTACAGTCTGACAGTGTTCTCTACCATCTAACCCATTTCTTAGATGTTGTATGTGTTATGTGATTTGTGTCCCATGCTGCAGTAACAGAATTTCAGCTGCTGGTTTTCAAAACACTTCCAGTAGGGTGACTGTTAATAGGTTATGAGAGACATGAGTCAGACCATGCCATTTCTAGGCATCTTGTTTTTTTTGGTTTTTTTTAAGCCAACATGGAATTTGCCTCATGGCCTCACTCTGATCTCAGCAAGAACACATTCAAAAGAGTTCCTTGTTTTTTCAAAGCCTGTTTGCATGAGTTGATTGAACGCTCTCCTAGCACGGAGACCTGCCCTAGAGCCAGTGGCAGAATACCTGTGTACTGGGTTGTATAAAGGATTCACTGCATTTAGCTCCATTCATTGTGCTGACTGTGCCTCCCAGTGACACATCCAACTCTCCAACCTCTGTTTGCTTTTTTCTTTTGTTTACAGGAGCAGAGGGCACAGTGTTCCCTAAATCTATAGAGACACCTAATGTCAGGGCAGATCCCTTCAAGGAACTAAGGTAAACTTCTGAGTATGGTTTGCATTGATTAAGTGGCTATTTGCTCTCTTTGTGCAACTGGTTGATGATCCATTTTGAATATCTATGATGTAGCAGTATCATGAGTGTATGAACTGGGAGAGATTAGAAAGGATGTGAAGATAAGGTACAACTAAGAGAAGATTTTCTCTGAGGACTTAAAGTTGAAAGATTGCAGGAAGTGGTTGCCAGTCTTGGAGCTGTGAGATTTAGGATTCATTCATTTACAGTGTGTATTTCCTGATGTATTTTGTGGTACCCAGATCCTCTCCAGTTAGAGAACTAATCGGTAATTTGTGCTGATCAGCCCAAAGAAAAGTGGTGTTTAAAAGAAGCTGAGCTGTAAATACTATACTTTTTTTTTTTTCTATCTAACAAGCTCCCCATTTTCTGGAATGATATGGTGCTAGAACTACCTTCTGTGTGTATTCCATGTACTGGTGTTAATCAGATATCCATAAGCCTGCTGCTTTTAGCAGAAAAGGGCTCTGCGATGCCGTGTACTTACCAACAACTTATGGAAAGCAAAAAGGAACAGTAGATATACCGACGGACAAATAGACAGAGATGTAGTCTAAAAACCATTCCTGCCGCTAAAGAACTATCCCCAGCCCTCCAAATGAAACACATATAAAATGGTATGATGATACAAATATAACTTTAATTTTCACTATGGAATTAGAGCCATGAAGAATTCAGTGAATATTGGCTTTCTTCATTTCTCACAGTTCTTTAAATAAGACCAATCATAAATCCTCATAAACATCCCTGAATAACTCTTGCATAAAGACATCAACTGTAAGCAAACGCACCTGTATCGCACAAGTCATCCCTTCTCTTTCACAACCAGCCCCGAGATCTCTGTTTTGCGAAAACAGCAGCAGCCACGTTGGAGCTTGCATTTCCCTAAACAGAAACATGTCCTCAGTAAGTGGAGAATATATCACCTCATTACAAAACCATAGCATTCCTGCCAGGCCTGTAAGTCTTTATGAATATAGGGAAATAAGTCGGGCAAAAGGAAGAGGATAATCGGTGGGGAGTGAAAACCTTTTCTTAGCAAAATCCCGTATACAGTGGGCTATATTTTTAAAATTACATACCACACTGTGACGTTTTACATGTTACTGAAATAACCATTTTCACCAGGTCTTCCAGAGGCCAGAAGTTGCCTGACTCTCTGTCAATTAGATCCTGGGTTTCATATTAATGTGCTAAAGCTGGAATCTTTTAAGCAAATCCACCCAAGGAAATGTGCATTTTAGGTCCCTGAGAGAGCTCATTCTCTGAGAATGCACTGAATCCTTGTGGCTGTGATGTAAGAACTCTTTCAAGCAGGCTAATGGGTGGCCCAGTTCCCTGTCTTTTCACAGTCCTCTTTAGGAGCAGGGGGTTTTATTTGGGGGGGAGGGGGGTTGTTTTTTACAGAACTAGTGAATGATTTGTGCTGATCAGCCCAAAGATAAGTGATGTGTAAAAGGAGCTGAACTCTATCATGTACCACAGTGTTCATTGCAGCTCTGTTTACAATAGGCAGGACATGGAAGCAACCTAAGTGTCCATTGACAGATGAATGGATAAAGAAGATGTGGCACATATATGCAAGGGAATATTACTCAGCCATAAAAAGAAACGAGATTGAGTTATTTGTAGTGAGGTGGATGGACCTAGAGTCTGTCATACAGAGTGAAGTAAGTCAGAAAGAGAAAAACACTGTATGCTAACACATATATATGGAATCTAAAAAAAAAAAAAAGTTTTTTTTGGTCAGAGATTCTGCCACAAAGCACCATTAAAAAAAAAAAGGGATGGAGAAGCTAAGTCATCACATTCTAGGCTCCTGACTCAGTCCAGGCTATTACACATCAACACAATCTGAACAGGGGCAAACAAAAGACTAACTTAAGAATTACATACTAAAGTCTTTTTGTGCTGCCCTTATTTATACTTAGACTGACTTCTCAGATAAACAAGTAAAACTTAAATGTCAATCCATGTCCCTCAGCTACTCAATCAATCAAGCATGAGAAAAATAACATCTATTTTAGAGACCTTCTCTTTGGGGATAATTTTTGTTTCCTCAAACCCCTTTCTTGGCTGCTGGAGGGTTTTCTTGTTTGTTCTACTGTTGTTTTCTGTTTGCTTGTTTGTTAATGAGAAGCAGATTTTAGGCCTCTGACGTGCCTTCCTGGAATATCTCAGCTCCCAGCTAAAGGAATGGTAGCTTCCTCTCTGTGAGCATTTTGGTTCACTGCTTTTCTTATTAGAGTTACTATAGTTACTATATTTGCCGTATTTGCTTAAGACATTTGTAAATAATCCAGGGTTGAGCTGAAAATCACAAAAGAGGGTTGTTTCTCTGCAGACAAACAAGGAGTGTTGGTAAGGTCTGCGCCCAACACCCAACTCAGGCGTATTTGTAGACTCTGCTGCTGCAGGGCAATTCTGAAATCATGACGTGTGTCTCTAGATTCAAGACTATACTTAAAAATGTACCAGGCAGTACCCCCATCCCTCTAATGAGAAAAACTAACTTTGAATAGAAACTGGATTTGAATAAATTCATGACTTAAAATTTGAATATTTTAAATGTTCACACAGTTTTTTGTTTTTTTTTTCCCCCCCCCAAAGTCTGTATAAGACAAATGGAAAAAAATCCCTGATCTCAGACTGTGCCTGATCTGGGACTGGAAATAGGCCATTCAGTTTGACATAGGTATTTTCTGTAAGAACAGAGACCACCTGTGAATGACTACCTTGCTCTAAGCATTCTTTTCAACTGTGAAGTTTCCTTGTAGGATTCTGATCCTACCAGAATAGGAAATGGACTGTGAAATCGTATGTCCCAGATGTATGCCATGACAATTGTAAAAGAAAGGAAGAAGGTTATATGGACCAATGTACACAGACAGCCAACTCTGTTCCCCTAAACAGCACTAAAAGCTTGGAAGGAACCACAAAAAAGCAAGAAGCCAGAAGGTCTTCATAAAAGAATTCTTCATCAGCGGCTGTGCTGATATGCTTTCACTCTACCTTCAATTATAACCAGGGTGGTGACCTGATTTTCCATTTCATTGTCTATAAGGAGCTGTTTCCCAAGTGTTTTTTTTTTTCAGGTTCTTTTCCCATATAGGTTATTACAGAACACTGAGTAGAGTTCCCTGTGCTGTACAGTAGATCCTTGTTAATTATCTATTTTATGCATAGTGGTGTGGATATGTTAATCCCAAACTCCTAATTTATTCCCCCCCACCAACTCGGTAACCATAACTTTGTTTTCAAAGTCTGTGAGTCTTGTTTTGAAAGTAAGTTCATTTGTATCATGTTTTTTAGATTCCACGTATCAGTAATATCATATGACATTTGTCTTTCTCTGTCTGACTTACTTCACTTAGTATGATACTCTCTAGGTCCATCCATGTTGCTGCAGATGGCATTATTTCATTCTTCTCTATGGCTGAGTAATATTCCATTGTGTATATGTACCACATCTTCTTTATCCATTCCTCTGTTGATTTAGGTTGATTTAGGTTGCTTCCATGTCCTGGCTATTGTAAATACAGCTGTAGTGAACATTGCGATGCATGTGTCCTTTTGAGCTGTGGCTTTCTCTGGGTATATGCCTAGGAGTGGGATTGCTGGGTCATATGGTAGTTCTATTTTTAGTTTTTTGAGGAACCTCCATACTGTTCTCCATAGTGGTTTTACCAATTTACATTCCCTCCAACAGTGTAGGG